CCCACGGCTATGGGGGGCGCCCCCGGGCGCGCAAGTGTCCCCACCCCCTGGCGCCCGGTGGGCGAACGGCCACGCCCCCTGGCGCCCGACAACCTCAAAAGGTTGGGGACCACTGGTCTAGGACCATCCCTGATTGCCACAAGTCTTCAAAGAATGGCTCTGCAATGGCATCAGCCAACTCCCTCAGCACCATCGGATGTATTGTGTCTGGTTTGATTGACTTGTGTAAATTTAGCTTTCCTAAACAGTCCTTAATGTGTTTTCACCACCGTCAGCTGCTTACCTTCTTCTCCTATTGTGCTGCCCAGTACAACAGCCTGGGAGCTGACCTTGTCTTCACAGACCAAGGCAAAAAAGGCATTGAGTACTTCAGCTTTTTCCACGTTATCACTGGGTTGCCTCCCCCGTTCAGGAAGGGTCACACATTTTTCCTGAAATACTCATGGAAACCCTTTTTGTTGTTCATCGCATCCCTTGCTAACTCCAACTACGGTGGCTCCTACCAAGACTTGTGGCCATGTCTTCTGATGCTGGCATCCATTTTGGAATGCTGTATTATTCCACATGACAGAGGGGTAGTTCATACTGAACACAGAGGATTCCTGCCGTATGCAAAACTTATTTAAGAGTGAGGTAATCTGCATTGTCAGTTCTCTCTGAATATCCCACCCAAGAGGACTGCAGGAAACATCTAAGACTGAACAGGGATTCAGCCCAGGCTAGAAGGCTTTCCACTCTGTGAAAGAAGCTGCTTAGAACAACTTTGAGTTTGAGAGATTACATGTAACTGTATCAGAGGGGTAGCCGTATTAGTCTGAATCTGCAAAAGGGACGTAGAGTCCTGTGGCATCTTATAGACTAACAGATTTATTGGAGCATAAGCATCTGCATGCATACATCTGACGAAGTGGGGCTTTGCCCGTGAAAGCTTATGCTCCAATAAATCTGTTTGTCTATAAGGTGCCACAGGACGACTCATTGCTTACATGTAACTGGTTTCTTTAGAGTATTTGGCTTTGCTTACGTGTTCTGTTTTATTTTGTTTAGTAACCTGTGTTGTTCTGTGTGCTATTTCTTAAACTTATATCCTAACTTTTTATTTGATACATTGGTTTTGTTAAGCCCAGTGTCAGTAATTGTTACCTGGGGAGGCAAGGAGTCTGTGCATCTTTACACTGGGAAATAAGGCGAATTTCATGAACTTACCACACAGATCTCTTCAGTTCATTCATTCTTCAGTTTCATCTGAAGTGGGTTGTGCTCATGATCCCATCTACATTTTTTGTTAGTCTCTAAGGTGCTGCAGGACTATTCTTTGCCGTTTTAAATTCATACAGATCTCTGTCAGCATAGAACAGATTTATCCAGGGTTCAGCTCCCAGTGGGGCTGGGTATCTGAGTGCTGGAGACGGGTATCTTGCTTAGCTGTTTTCAGTTAAGGGCTGAAGCTTTGGGGGCATGGCCTGCACCCTGTGTCTGTGTTGCAGTAGGCTAGTATGTCTGAGTCAAGAAGACAGAGCATTGGGGACCCATGCTGGCAGGGAAAACTGGCTCAGTGGGGTCTCAACACATTGGGTAGCAAACTCACGGGGGTCCTGATTGGCTACAGGTTGATTGTACCCCTTCTTCAGAATCCTTTGTGTGTTGCCCTCTCAAAAGCTTTCATAGCTGTGGGCTCCTTTGGAAGTCTGTGGTTGGAATAAACCTCAAGTCTTGTGTACGCTGGAACCAGACGTACACTTGGTAAATTCTCGTAGGTTGTTAATGCTGTAGGTGAAATTGGTGAGACATCAGATACTGTTACGTTGTCACTAGATGGAATTGTGGAACTTCCCAGAGCTCTCGGAACCACATTTACTATGTTTTGTTCTAATTTTTTGATCTAATTTTTAAATTTCCCAAGGAAAGATTGAAGGGATTAAAAGGAAGGAGAATGAAAAACCAAGAAAAGACAACCTTAAGATAATACATTTTCCTAACCTAGTTCTATTTCCCTTGAATTACAAGTTACCTTCTGACTTTGAAATGTGCTTCATCAAGATTCTCAGTCCTTTCTTACTTTTGATATTCGCTCATGTCTGCACACATTTTCTAGTATTTATTACTAGCATATTTACTTTTGCCTCATTACAATTGAGAAGTGACTAATGGTCTCCTGTCCCACCTGAGCAAACATTTGTAATGGGGACCATCTCTGTCCTCTCTTATTTAGAGAAGTAACTGGTGGAGCGTGTTGCCTCTTCAGTACTCCCAACTTGAAGAAACATGGAGCCAAGGGATTAGGTTTTGTAATTTACAGAAGTTAATTTTTTTGTTTCCTGGAATTTTTCTCAAGGCTAGAGATAAATGTAGTTTCAGCTGTTCATCTGGTAGAAAACATTTCTAACTTAGCAGGAGTGAACACATTTCTTAGGCCATCAAAATATCACTCTTCCCTAATCTTTAGAGTCCTGCAAAATGCTTGGTAGGGAAAATGTGGATTGTTTTCCTTAACCTTTCCCCCCACACCTGTCCCTTTTTTTTTCTTTTCTTTTTATGCCATGTAGGATGAGCAATAGTGCTCTATACATGTAGCAAGCAGTAAAGAGGAACCTTGACCGTGATCAGTTTTCTACATCAAGTGATTTGCAGAGATCCAGTTTCCTGATGATGGTCATACAATCCTAATTTCCCTTGCAGTAGGCTCCAAGTGTAAAGTGCTTGGCATCATGAAAATGCTGGTTTTGGCAGTTGCTAATTGGTTTTCTATTGCTCAGGGTGTTTCTTTTGTGCCATGCTTAACAATTTGGGAGGTATGATGCATAGCTAGAAAAATTACTGGTTGTAGGT